CGTCGCACTGTCCAGCTGCACGAGGGCTTTTGGCGACGGACCACGTAATTTTGAACCATGGTCAAGTGACGTGGACGACACCTGAGCTGGCACCCCCTCTCCTAACTACCACACCACACCAACGGGAGGACGTTTCAGCTCTCGACAGATTTAGCGTGCATTGCTGCCCTACACGGCGGGTCTTTAGTGGTACTGGGCTCGAACTCGTGACAAGCCAGCCACGATCCGATGCCCATACCACTCGGCTACCGCGGCCATTCCTAGTTTCAGAGGAACGTTCCTAGTTTCAGAGATCAGGATGGCGTCAGAACTGGCACGTACATTTTTCTAAAAAAATGTTTCGCGTTTATAGAAAATTTTAAAAAATCTTAAAAGAATAGATCTGCGGCAAATCAATTTCGTAATACATTAATGTGTAATTTTAAACTCACTTTTATTTTTAACTCACTTAATGCGTTATTAAGTAAGTAAAAGATTATTAATGTCGCATTTAGAAGTAACACCGGAACCATATGAGACGACCCTAGTTATTTAAATCAAAGTCAGGTAACTTAGATCAGTGATCCGCAACTCCCGGTCCGGTACCGGTCCGTGGATCAAATGGTGCCGGGCCGCCTAAAGAACATTCAACTATTGCCATTTTATTTAAAGTGGTGCATTTCTCTCGGAATTGCGCAACCTTCCAGGGAAATCACTTTATATTCCACGTTAAATCACTTTTATTCATTTTTGGTGTAATTATATTTTATTATGAAAGCATATTTAAATGTAACTAAATTAAAATTTTCAAATCAAAACAATCTAAAATATAAACAATCAACATGTCCCACCCTCAGAAGGCCGCGGTAAAATTATCAAACGTTGACCGGTCCGCAGCGATAAAAAGATTGCGGAGCACTGACTTAGATGACATCTAAGTTGGCTCCCCACTCTCCGAGATTCCACACCACGTAAATGTTTGAGGTACGATAGATTTAACGTGCACCAGGCCTTCTACCCAGTAGATGTTCACTAGCACCAAAATTGAGCTTGCATCTCAGTGTTCAAAACTACACCAAGAAGACAAGTAGACTTTGAGCTTTGAAAGTATTAGGATCGTTAAGGTACCCTGGGAGTTCTTCAGCAAATTTTATATGAAGGAAAATCAATCCCATGTGATAAAGAGAAAAGATCATTCAGAGAAACTGAGGCCCTGGATTCCCGTACTTAACCTAAAGAGGGGGTGTTGCCAGGAATGTCATAAGGCATGGGCCAACTGGGCCCGTACCCAGAGCCTAAGCCGCAATGACGCCCTTGTCTCGCTTTCGATTCAGCCTTAATAAGATCACAATTTGAATAACTACAACGGTCAAATGTTATTTTTGGCTGTACTCTACGAAAAACTGGGAATTCCCAACGATGTGTCAAATGGCTATATGTAATGACCATACTCTAACAGGCGTTTGCTACTACCATAAAAAACCATCATTATTCAATTAGCGGTCGAGCCGTTTTGGCTGATTGTAAGTCATAAACCTTTATTTGATTTGGGGTATTATTTGTGCGAGTAGTTGACAACGTATGCTATGTACAGTCTACTTTTGAGGGTCTTAGGTAAATATATATTTGTGTAGGGGCCCAGGGACTCAAGAAATCTTAAGACGTCCCTGGATGCTACACAAAGATTTTGAAGCCTAGTTTCATTTAACATAAAGTAACTCAATATTGGGACAGTTTTGGTGGAACTAGGACACGAATTAGAGCAGTGATAGTAATCCACAAAGTTCAAAACTTAACATAATTGTTTATCATGGTCCAGGTGGAATTTGACTTTTCAACTCTTAATCAAATGAGGACTTTCAGTATTCTAAGAAATTAAATTTCCCTTCTTTAGAACAAAGATATTCAACTACTATACTTCGACTAGGTTAAAAGCCATGGAGACTCAAAGGATTTGTCATCTTTTCCAAATCAACGACGGTTCATTTCTCAAGAGACTTTAACCATTCAAAATAAAAAAAAAAGTCAGAGAAGATTACAGTATCAAAAGTCGAGACAATAGTATTTGAATTACCTTAATGAATTCCTTATTTTGTTTTCTGTATTGGATTATCGAGGGATTCAATTAATGATTGTATGTTAACCCTTCGACAACTCGAACTCTACTTGGCATCTTGTCATGACGAAGAGAGAAATATGCATATTTCCCCTCTTTTTCGAATTTCCATTACTCATTCTCGGAAGTGCCGAGGGCAAAGCAGGTGAAATTCATCTCCTCCCACTTTACAAAAGGGGTGAGAGATGGATGATTGTCGCCCTCGGTGTGACACAGAGGACGAGGTCGTAAAAAAAACAGGAACCGTCCTTTATGACTTCATTATGCAGAGAGGTCTTCTCCAAATCGACGCATAATGGACGAGAGACTCAAATCGATTTGGGAAAGGGCCCGGGAGATGAGAAAGAACGTTTCTATTGGAACTAATAGATTTGATTTGTTCGTAGTGTTTTCGCACTTTTCGTTTCAAGGACAGGACGCCTTTTTCATGGGCACAATCAAGGAAAATGTTTAATTCGACATGGAACAAAAGCAGGATTTTATTAATCCGGCTGGTATATCTGACAATTTTTTTAGTAAATACCATTCAGTATTAATTTAAAAAAAAAAAAAAACGTGAGTATCATCAGGGTGTGAGCAGAAGCTGTAAATTATTTACTCGAAAACAGATGGCTTTATTTTTCAACAATGTTCTAAGCATCGTAATTTTAAATCCTTCAAAACAAAAAAGCTCCAAGCTACTAGAGAATAATTATTCATTTGAAAAAATTGTCAACGTTCATTATAAAGAATCATCAGAAAAATCGGCAGTAGATCCCAATCAAACAATTACCATGCACCAATAAAATTGTTTTATTTCCATGTGAGCGAGTGAATATTTACGTCGCACTGTTCAGCTACGCCAGGGCTTTTGGCGACGAACCTCGTCATTTTGAACCATAGTCAAGTGACGACCATACCTGAGCTGGCACTACCCACTCCTAACTACCACACTACACCAACGGGACATCGTTTGAGCTCTCGACAGATTTAACGTACATCTCTCCCCTACACGATGGGTCTTCAGCGGTACTGGGCTTGTACTCATGACACGCCAGTCACGAGTTCGATACCTTAACCACTAGGCAACAGCGGCCATTTCCATACGAGAGAAGCTAGTATTTATTAACGACACACTAAAAAGCTATGGGCAACAAAGGTCATGCCATTCTAACCCACGGTCAAGTGACCTGAGCTGGCATTTCCTCTCCAAACTACCACATCAACGGGAGGACTTTGAGCCTCTACAGATTTAACGTGCATTAGCTCCTCTGCATGATAGATCGTCAGTGGCATCAGGACTCGAGCCTGGCAACGCCGGCCACGAGCTAGCTTTAAAAATTGTATTCAAATTTTAATAAAACCTAAAACAATATATTTCATGTGTAAAACGATCGAAATAATTTTCTTTCTATGATTATACGGGGAAACCTATAATTATGTGTCTCCGTTGTTTGGTTAGTAAGATACATTGTTGATTTCGACAAATAATTTTCGTCAATTTTGTAGTGCTATGCAAAAAAATTGAGTGGAAAAATCATTTGACCGAGAAATAAGCTAATAAAACAAATAAACAGTTTTCGAGACAAGGGGACCTCACAACTGTCAAAAAATTCATATATATTCACTAATTACATTTCAAATCCTTCTTGAATTTCTGTATTACAAATTTCTATAATACGCCAATGGATTGATATGAAAATTGTTTAATTTTTGTATAACTTTTACTTAAATTCAATACGAATTAGAGAAATGGTCTCCCTGTAAAACATGTTTTTTAAAACTACATTTATCATTAGTGTAAGTAAGTATTTGAAAAGAGACTGTAGGGAATTTTACTTTATTGGTAACCAAGACAATAGCCCCTTAGTTGCTAATAAACTTCCTTTGGAAAATAATTACCCCGTATATTATTTAAAGAAAGAATAACATCAAATAAAAATTTTAAAAACTCGGTTATATTAAACAAAACTTTTCATTGCAAATATAGTTTTAATAATCAGAAGTTTTTTTACTAAAATGTTGCAAGCACTTGTATTAGGGAAAATAAAACAAAAAGTAGAACAATCAAGAAAAGGAATATTTTGCTCCAACAAGTATCAATAAAACATTCACATTCAAATAATTGCACTCCTACTTTTCAATGGCCGACTGATTCCCTTCCATGTCGATTTGACAAGTAATCTTTCAAATTGATATTCTGCATCTTTTTTATCTTCCTTCTGCTTCATTTGCAAGGAAAATAAAGGGGAAAAAATGTATCACGAAAGTGTTTCAGTAGCATCTTCGATTATGTGGGGAAAAAATGCTGGAAAAAAGTATCACACACCGCGATATGCCTCAGCGAGCTTACTTACACACATCTTCTCGGCGAGATCCAACGCTTCATTTAATCGAAGTCAAGATCCAAGAGCAGAGTGAGTTGCTCGTGGAAAATGGGGCAACAAAGGCTATTTCCAGCGGAGGAAAGTGAATCCACCCTCCGGCGAATCTTTTCAATGATTCGTCGTGAACGAGTGCAAAAAAAAGTTTCATTAAGATGTTATTTCAAGACTAGTTCACTTCTTTAGTTTTTTTGGAAGATGTGTTCATTAAAACAATTTCGAATTGTCAGCATTCGATTCGTGTAGAAAAAGAATCATTGAGACTGTGTTCGAAAAAAAACGAAGTTTTGTCTCAAATGAAATGAGGAATATTTAAAAAAAATTTCAAAGTCAATACCTACTTAGATCAACAAAGAACAATTTTATTTTAGTTACTTTATATTTAATAATTACAATTAATACAAATATGTACATGCATATGACAGGATCACAATATTAGCGGCAAAATAGAAAGCGATTTTCCTTTCTATATATGGTGTTGGACTATTATTTTTGTTTGTTACTATGCATTCATTCATAAATTACTTTCTCAGAAATTAGGCTATCCCAGGTAGGATTCGAACCCACGACCTTTGGATTAGAAGTCCAACGCGCTACCCATTGCGCTCACGGACACAACGAGTGATTTTCTTCTTTCCATAGGGTGTTGTACTATTGTTTTTGTTTGTTACTATTTATTCCTAAAATAAGTTTAACTAATGAGTTAATATTTGAATAACTGTATTAGCCTTAAGTATCATCCACTGCAAGTTTAAAAATATGTATTTGAACTTGAATGGATGAATAGAAAGTAGAGAGTGTTTTTTTTCCAGGTATAGAAGTTTAAGTTGGCATTACTTTCCAAGATGGCGACCGATTTAACAGCTGTCAAGTGATTTATTCTCAGTTTGGTTTGGCAATTCATCATGAATAGACTCACGCCTGAACAACGCTTTCGAATTGTGCAATTTTATTTCGAAAATAATGGTCGATTTTCATAAGCAAATTTTGTTTAGCGATGAAGCGCACTTCTGGTTGAATGGCTACGCCAACAAACAAAATTGCCGCATTTGAAGTGAAGCTAATTCACACGTGTATGTCGAAACATCGTTACATCCAGAAAAACTGACTGTTTGGTGCGCTTTATGTGCTGGTGGAATCCTTCTTCAAAAACGATGAAGGCCACAACGTTACAGTCAATGGTGATCGGTATAGAGCCATGATTACTAACTTTTTCATTCCTGAATTGAACAATCATGATGTCCAGGAGCTGTGGTTCCAACAAGACGGCGCAACATGTCCCACAGCTCGTGCCACAATCGATTTATTGAAAGACACGTTTGGTGACCGCCTAATTTCACGTTTTGGACCTGTGAATTGGCCTCCAAGATCTTGTGATTTAACACCGCTAGACTATTTTGTGTGGGGCGATGTAAAGTCATTGGTCTATGCGGATAAGCCACAAACGCTTGACCCTTTGGAAGACAACATTCGCCGTGTTATTGCCGATATACGGCCACAAATGTTGGAAAAAGTCATCGAAAATTGGACGCCCAGATTGGACTACATCCGAGCCAGCCGTGGCAGTCCTATGCCAGAAATCATATTTAAAATGTAATGCCACAAGATTATCTTTCGAATAAAAAAAAATTCATGTCAATCGAATAATACATCGTTGTTTTATTGCAATTTAAAGTTCTATACCTCTTAAAAAACACCCTTTATATAATCAGGATTTTTTCCCCTTACGTTACTGAAAGCATTTGATGTTTTAATGAGTTATTTCAAAAACCACTACAGTTTATTTTAATTATTCCGTTAATTATTCCGTATTTGTACCGTTCAAAAAAAGAGTTGCAATACTCTTTTTAAAAAACAAAATTATATGTTCTTCTATAGTAATTAAACAAAAAAGAACGTAACGTCACGAAATTTAACAATGTATTAGAATTTATAATTACATAACAGAATAGAATCAGTTAAAAGAAATTTGCTGTCATTCTACTATTCTATCCTTTTTTTAAAAAAAAAAAAGAGGCAATGTTGAAAACACGAGCTTTAAATTAAAAGCAACAGACTTTTATCCAAAATGAGTAATTTAATTAAATCTTTAAAATATTCTAAAAGCATAGCAACAATGTTAACTGAAATTAAATTTAAAAAAAATACTTTTTGAAAGTAATTCTGAATGATACTTATAAACCTAAAAAATAATTCTTTTAAATCGTATTATAAATCAAAGTATTAAGCATATTGCTATTTTTCTTTCGTTCATAGTATTTCATCAGTAAAAATTTATATTTTTCACTACATAATTTGAGCTTTCAAGTAAAATTAATATCTCAAAGTTTAATATGAAATTAAGAATATGTTAAAATATTTCGTTTTGATAAATATGAGTAGAATAAGAAAGAAAAATATCATTGAAATTATCATTAACGCTGTTTAAATTGTCCATTTTAATTTAAAAATGGCTCTGATTGAATGAAAAATTATCCTAATTGGTTAATTTTTATACCTCGTTAAAGTTATGTAATCACTTTTAATTATTTAATTCCATTTAAACATTTTTGTTCATGAATTTGACAACATTTTGTGCTTCTTTTTGGAATCGTATTTCATAACGTGACTTAATCATTAGAACTACGATAATCTTTGAGAAAATAAAAAGAATCTATATGCAGTATCTCTATTTCAAATATCTTTAAAAAATAATTGCCACAGACACCATCTTAACTGGCCATCAGCTGAATAACCGGACTTTTGTTCAGACGCATATATGAATCATTTACGGAACTATCTCAGTTTTGTTTCTAGTCTTCAATTTCTCGGAAAATGCTTTACTTATTTCAATAGTAGGCGTATAGTGTTTGGAAAGACGTTATTGCTTTGCATGCTTATGCCTCAAGGATATCGTTCCTTAAACTCAGCGACATGGTAGAATTTATAAAATTGCCCTGTACTACGTATGTTCCAGATGTTGAAAAAATTAATTTAAAATTATTTTGTGATACATGAAAATATATACTTAGTTCCCTTAATTTAACGAGTAAATTTCATATGATTCAAAATGTTCATACTATAGTTGCCGGACTTGAAATCGTTGATTAACTACTGTAGAACGTCGTTTATCCGAATCAAATGGGACCGGCCACCGTTCGGATACGTGATTGTTCGGATAACCGAACACCGAATGCGATCCATGCAGTATATGAAACCGGACACTATGCGAATATTTAAAATCATCATATATGCGGGAAACGTGCTTGAAGAAAAAGAAAAATAGGTGTCAAATGTCGCAATTTTATATTTATTGTGGAAAATAATCACTTATTTTTCGCTGTACCATTGTACACCTTCGTTTTTTCGCTGCACAAAGTCTTTGATTCTCTTGAGCAGCAGTAGTTGAGTAGGACAGCACTCTGATTGTTGTTCGTACCACTCCTTTGCTGTCTCTAACGCAGAAAACGCGTCAGCATTTGATGGATCCTTGCTACTTTCGTTGTTGTTGTCCTCGTCTTCATTCGTTTCATCGTCGGCAGGGTCGGATTCTGCTTGCACGAAAGTCACAATCTCGTCATCCTTTAGCATTTGAAATCCACTGAGTCTTCTGCAGCGATTGCCATTCAGGTTTCTATATCTTCATTGCATTCTTGAAATCCTGGGATCGATTAGACAAAGTCTGTAATCTCATCCTTCGCCTTCTAAATTGACAAAAGTTGACAAAAAACAAAAAAACTAGTTCGGATATTTGACGCTCCGAATAATTAACGTTCAGATAAACGACGTTCAACTGTATATTTGTATATCTTACTTCCAAAGACTACAGTTGAACTGATTATACGTATGTTCATTAAATCTATCGAGACTTTTTCTTAAATTGACGTGGTGTGGAGAGGTAAGCGTGGAACCACTCAAGGTTTCGTCAATTGACTATGAGTACAAAATTATAAAGACCTAGAAAACTCGTGTTGCTTCTGGTGACATGTTGATAAACATTCTTATTTTGGGATTCTTTATTCACGTCGTACTCTTAAAGCAACAAGATGCGAACTGGCAACAAACTTCGTGATGTTGAACCTCGGTCAAGTGACGGGAACGACACCTTGCTGGCTACTCTCCCCATCAAACTTCCACAACACGCCAACGTGAGGATCTTGATCCTCAAAAGGTTAAACATGTATCACACCCCCTTCTATGCGACGAATCTTCAGTGTTACCAGAATTTGGAACTCTCGACTCATAGGCCTCGAGTTCGTGTCCATGACCACTTGGCTACCACAGCTACAAGATGTTAACAAAACAATTTCAGAACCAGTGGCCTTAATGTTCACCTCCACAACCCCCCCTCATCGCGGGGAGCCCAAAGTCTGATTGATGCCATGTCCGTAAATTCCGAGCCGACTTGGGGCTGAAAACTTGACTTTGTAAGGGGGGGAGGGGCTAATATTTTTCGTTACGCCACTGCTCAAAACACCTAGTGTCTCTTAGAAATTTTTATTACTCTCTCTCATTTAAACTTCATTTGAATAATTTAGTTTAAAATATTTATTAAAGCAATGATCCACCAAAGTGTTATTTTATGTATGTATAATTATATTCATATTACCTGTATACAATTATTTAAAGCACTTTTAAGCATCAGCAATGTCCTAGACCAGAGGTGTCCAATCCAAAAGACCTTGCCGACCATTTTGGAAAAACATTATAATTTCGCGGGTCGCACATAAAAATATGTACTTTTATATCAGATTTGGAAACAAAAAAACATTTATTGGAGTGAAAATATAAAACAAAATTAATTATTATTATTGTTTTCCTTATTTTTCATGTATACAGACATAGGTAATATAATAATGTTTATATAATATAATAATGCAATGATCAAATACTGTTTAAAATACACTGGCCTCAAAAAGTTAAGGTACAACCGAGTTTTTGTGTCTAATTTGCAAATGAATGAATGTAGAAACAAAAAATTTGGAGGATATGTGCATTAAATAGTTTTTTATTGAATGCGTCATAGAAATTTGTATAAGTGTATTGCAAAAACGATTTATAACAAAAAAAGCAATCTCTGCGGAAAAGTCCATTCTTGGAGAAAACAGCACATCACAGTGTTATGTGGTAAAATGGCATAAAAACAATACAAAAATGGGTTCTAATAAGGAATGTGTCCACCCCTAACTTGAATGCATTGGCGGCATCGATTTCCCATGCTGTTTATTAAGTTGTCGGACACCGGAATAGGGAAGCGAAGACCAGACACAGAGTAAGCCTTGTTTCAGCTCATGTAACGACCTTGAGGAGGATTTAAAGCAGCAACCTCTCTGCCAAGATAGTCCCAAAGATGTTCTATCGGATTCAGGTCTAGAGATCGAGCTGGCCATTCCATTCGTTCCAAACAGTGATCCTCCAGATACTCCTTAACAATCCGAGCTCGGTGAGGTCGTGCATTATCATCCATCAGAATGAAGTCGTTACCAATAGCAGCAGCATATGGGCGGACATATGGATCAAGGGTCTCATCCCGATATCTAAGACCAGTTACGGTTCCTCCATGGAACACATGCAGGTCAGTGTGGCCACCGAGCGAGATCCCTGCCCAAACCAGGATTCCACCACCTCTATAACT